TTCTTTGGCTTGTTTGTTTTGTTTCTTAAATTCCACATATGAGTGAAATCATGGTATTTGTCTTTCTCTGACTGCCTTATTTCACTTAGGATTGCACTCTCTAGCTCCATCCATGTTTTGTTTTGAGAGAGAGAGAGCATGCTCACGAATGGGGAAGGTGCAGAGAGAGGGGGGGACAGAGGACCTGAAGTGGGCTCTGTGCAGATAGCAGAGAGCCTGATGCGAAGCTTGAACCTACAAACTGTGAGATCATGATCTGAGCTGAGGTCAGTTGCTCAACTGATTAAGCCACCCAGATTCCTCTCTGTGTTGTGGCAAATGGCAAGATTTCATTCTTTTTTATGGCTGAATAATATTACATTGTATATGTATGTATATATACACACCACATCTTCTTTATCCATTCATCTATCAATGGACACTTGGGCTGATTCCGTGATTTGACCATTGTAAATAATGCTGCAATAAACATAGTGGTGCATGTATACCTTTGAATTAGTGTTTTTGTATTTTTTGGGTAAATACCCAGTAGTGTGATTAATGGATTATAGGATAGTTCTATTTTTAACATTTTGGATAAATTTATGTATAAATAACCTGATAAATGATATAATGCCCAGGCCATAAATTTGTGATGCCGTGTGTGTGACAGATGAGGGTAAGGTTCTCATATGGCTCATATGGAAATCTAAGTAAAACATGTGGTGAGTCTGCCTAAAGCACAGTCTCCTGGGCATTGTGATTCAGGCTGGGGGGCAGGGGGACCTAATACGACGGAGTCAGACTACTTACATTTCAGATTCTAAGAAGGCTTGTGTTTGTTCTTACCATCTTATTCCTAATGCATTTCTCGTTCGAATTAAAAAATCAACCAGCAAACGTAAGCAGCCTGGCGGCTGGGATTATTTGTGCATGAGTGAAAGGCTCAGGCTGACTCTAAGAGTCACCACCACACTTCCTATTTTTCTGTTTTTGAAATCTGGGCGCTCTGTTCCAGCAGTTCCTCATATTGTTGTTTCAGAAGGCTGGAAATGACCACCAGGAAGCCTCTTTCTCAGGACTCACCTGGGATGCCAGTGCAATAGCTGCACGACTCTTTCTGATGCAAATGAGAGATGGTGCAAAAACTCAGTAACGGCTACAAAATAAGGGTGTTGAGCAAAATTAAATCTAACATGCTTTTCGGGGTTTAAACTGTGATTCTTAAAAAAATCCACCTTTTTGGGGGCACCTGGGTGGCTCAGTCAGTTGAGTGTCCAACTCTTGATTTCGGCTCAGGTCATGATCCCAGGGTTGTGGGCTGGAGCCCCGCGTCAGGCTCCATGTTTGAGTAAGCTTAAGATTCTTTCTTTCTCTCTTTCTCTCTGTCTCTCCCTCTCTCCCTCCTCTCCCGGTGCCCCTCTCCCCCGCTTGCACATACTCTCTCTGTCTCTCAAAAAAAAAAAAAGATCTTCTTTTATATAAAAGTAGCCAACAGAATGACAGTCTGCCAGGTAATAAAGCTTATTGAAACAGTCACCCAGGTGAAAATAGGAAAAGCAAGCCCTATTATAAGGGTTTCATGGAGATCTGGCAACACAAGGAAAATATTGTAATTCTACAGTTTAGGAAAGCCAGTAGAGTAGGAGTTATGGAATGCCTTTATTCTTCTGATTCACCCAAAAGCCTCTTGTGCCTGGATAGTAGCCATGTCTCCAGTGAGTTTCTTCTGTGGTTCTGATGGATTAGCCTTAGAGGTAGTGGTGGAAAAATCATTTATAAAATTCTCAGGACCCCAAGCTCTAACCAATGGATAGTGAGCCATAAATTAAAGGAATATAGAAATATAGGACCAAGACCCTATATATTTTTTTCAGGAATATCTAAGTAAAACATCAAATCAGTGAAAATGTGTTGGGTGCCTACCACCAAGTACAAAATCTTAACATTGGGTCCTGTGTAGTATATAAAAATACAAGTGTCAAAATTAGTGATGTAAATGATAATTTCTTTACTAGGCTACAGATGGCCAAAGTGGATATGAGTTTCTAAGGTCTTTTAGAGAAGGATGCTAGGGTTTCAGACAGACAGTCTTGTTTGTATAGGAAATAATGAAAGTGTCCTTGTGTGGAATAGGGAGATAATATTGTCTGGCTGGGGTGGAGGCAGGGAACGGGTTATGACTGGATGTGGGTGCCAGGTTGCACTAAGGTAAAAACATAAGAATAGTCTTTTAGTAGTTTAGTAACTAAACCTTTTTAGAGAGTTTAGAGCAAACTTATTTTTTATATATTTCAGATAATAAGAAATACATTTAAATTTTATTTTATTGTTTTTTTTTTTTTTATTGTAGAGAGAGAGGGAAGCATGAGCAGGGGTGAGGGGCAGAGGAAGAGAGAATCTTAAGCAGGCTTCACGCTCAGCCTGACGTGGGACTCGATACCACAACCCTGGGATCATGACCTGAGCAGAAATCAAGGGTCGGACGTTCACCTGACTGAGTCACTAGGTACCCCAAGAATAGGATTTTTAGAAAGAATCCTATGGGAGTAGTAAGAAGCCTTCATGCCTCACAGGAAAAAATTGAGCGGGGGAGGGATATGATAAAACTGGTACGTTTATCATCTCAGTTTGGCTGGAAGAGACTGGAAAAGATGAAGTCTGGGACAAGGTTTAAGAGAGTGAGATGGCGAGAATTAGACCAGGGCAAGTAGTGAGTGGAAACACTATTTTGAAAGAAGGCATTAAAGGAAGAAAGGAAGGAAGTAGCCTGGAGCCAGTTTCAGAGGGAAGATAGGATTGATTTATTTGGGAGTTGGGAGTTGCAGAATCATCATCAAATTGGACAACGAATGCTTGCTCTGGAAAGGCATCGTATCAGACTCAGGCAATACAAAAGAGAAGTGGTACCTGCCATTAAGGAACATGCCATTCACTTGGTGAGAAGATAGGACAGACTTAAATTTTTTTTTTTTCAAATCAAGAGAAGTTGAGTACCCTAAAAGATACCCTAAAGTTGATACCCTAGAAGATAATCTAGTTATAACATATGCTTGACTATAAAATAACTTATGTGACTTTGGTAGGTGTTT